CATATATAACATGCATATATATGCGCGTATACATCTCATTTCCAGTGCCGGCGCGCCGAATACCTTCAGAGCGGACGGCCCTGTCGCGAACGGCGCCCTAACCGGCTCGATGACGCAATTTGGCACGGCCGCGCTCAGTGCCCCCCTGCAGTTTGGCCGGTCGTATTTCACGCCGGTACGTGTTATATATGCGCGCATAATGTACGCGGACCTTTCATCTCACATCACTGGTTGTAGGCTCATAATGTACGCGGACGATGTGCAGTTCGCGTGGTATGGTATTGAGCAGCACTGGTTCTGTGATTGGCTGAGTGGCCGCAGACAGCGTGTGCGGGATGGTCATGATGTTTTGCCGCTGAGTCATGGTGTGATCCAGGGATCAATTTTAGGACCAATTTTATTTTTATTATTTACAAACGACCTTTCATCTCACATCACTGGTTGTAGGCTCATAATGTACGCGGACGATGTGCAGTTCATCCACACATGTCACCCAAAAGATTTTACTAAGTTGAAAGAGCGCATTGAGGAAAGTTTAAGGATAGCTGACGCCTGGTTCTCGCAGAACAGTTTAAAAATCAATCCCACCAAAACAGATTTCATGCTGGTGCATGCCCACCAGCGGCGCTCGGTAGGCACGTTTTCCATCGACTTTGACTCATCCACTATTCAACCCTCCCAGTCTATTAAAACATTAGGCGTCGTTGTCGACAAAAACTTGACCTGGGAGGCACACGTGTCAGCTGTAATCAAGCGCTGTTATGCATGCATCTGTGGTCTATCAAAATTTTCGCAAAGACTGACCGAGCCTGTGAAAAAGAGACTTCTTGAAGCACTTGTGTTTCCTCATTTAATGTACTGTTTGACTGTGTGGGGGAGCTGCAGCAGGGCCCAGCGGCACCGCATCCAGAAGGTGATAAACCATTGTGTTCGTATTGTGAAGGGTGCTCGCCGGTATGATCACGTGACCCCCCTCCTGACGGAGCTGGGCTGGCAGCGATTTGACGATCTGTTAAATCAGCGTGATTTGGCGGCGATGCACATGATTCTGCACTCGCCTCGTTCGCCTGTGTGCCTGAGAGAGCGTGTGACTTACCGTGAGACCGTGTCAAGCCGTGTCACTCGAGGCACAGCCGACAGACTCTTGGAGCTGCCCAGGGTCCGTACAGAGATTGCTCGTCGCTGCTTTGCATTCCGTGCTGTTTCCGCATGGAACAGCAGCAAGTCGGTATCGCGCGACTCGGCGAGCTCGCGGACTTGTACTCGGCGGGCGCAATGATCGCACCACCAGCCAGCCGATATCTGATGTCTCATTTTATTTGTACCTATTTCTACTTTTTATTTGTATACCTACCTTTTATTATGAATGTGAATGTGCATGAATGTGAGTACCATTGTAAAATGTGACGCGTAACCGGAAGAGCCACCACGTGGAGTGTTATAAGAATACATGATTGATTGATTGATTGATTCTAGTGCCATCTATCGGCAAGGGGCGAAACTAGGTACGCTGCTTAGCGGCACAGCATAGCTTCAGGCGTCGACTACTAGTGCCATCTATCGGCGAAGGGTGAAAAGTTAGCAACGCAGCGGCACAGCATAGCTTCAGGCGTCAAGTACTAGTGCCATCTATCGGCGAAGGGGAAACTAGCTACACTGCTCAGCGGCACAGCATAGCTTCAGGCGTCGACTACTAGTGTCATCTATCGGCGAAGGGTGAAACTGTCGTAACGCTGCCCAGTGGCACAGCCTTACCCGCAAAACATACGAGCTGTCGGTGATTTTATTATTGTGCCTACCGAGATTTTGATCTTTTAAATCAAAGATCAAATTGTCACAGAAAGTCATGCACCCTTTGCAGAGAACCGTAGAACTATGTAAAGTTGTCCGCGATTGGGAACAACCAAGTTCTATTAGGAAGGACGCGTGTCACTTCACTTCAGCGAAAAGCACACATCTCGTTTTTCTGCTATGTATTGAAACCATTAAATCAGTTAAGTGATTTAAGCCCTAGGTTTATCGACTTAAAATAGCCTTTGGCATGCCCGACACTCGGCCATTAGGTAATGATTTAAAGGGAAGTACTCGAGCATGGCGGAGAATATCGTGATAGGCTTCACGCTGGATGCTGCTATTCTTGGGCAAACCGTCGCACAGATCTGAAAAGCAAACCCTATGGCAGATTTATACGAGCTCGGAAGTTTGCGAGGCTAGTAATTTATAGATATTTGATTGCTTCTATTGGTTACGTTGTTCGTCCATATGAAAAGAACGAGCTCGTATTTTCTTAAAAGTTAAAACGATGTATGCGTTCATTCCCGAAATGAGATCGTCACATTGTTCGAGAAAGTGCGCAACTGCCGAGCACGTTAACTTTGGATCTATTGGGCTTTTGTGGCGTTTGAACGAGAGGCCATTCGCGAACTTCTGCCAGCTGAGAGGCTACTTGGCACCAAACTCCTTCCAACAAACGCAATAGTCGCCTCCCAGTGTCGCACAAAGTTGCCGCATATCACCGCTCTTTCACCACACTCATGTCGCTGTGAGTGCCGAAATAATTTCCACTCTCTCCCCCTATGGACGCCCGTCTGTCCCTCTGGGCGGTCCCTCTTCTGTCCGACTGTCTAATGGATCGCTAATGTGACGAGCGGACGCTACCACGCCCAGCCTTTCCAATGCCCTGATCCAGACGTCAGTAACGATTTCCAATGGCGCTGACCGACCACGGAGAGCTGCTGAGCTGTATCGAGGGTCTCCTGTCGAGAGTCGATCCGTCCCCCGAGCTCATCCAGGCCGCTGGGAGACGTGCCTCTAGAGCTCTCCGGTGTGTCGGCGTTCGGCGCTGAGACGCCCGGGGGGCTCTCCAGCGGCACTCGGCGCCACCAGCGATCGCAGAAGGTCACGGCGCCCGCCCGCGGCGGAGGTATGCGCCGTTGTGGTTTTATGGGGCTCCGAGTTGGCTGGTGCAGCCGATAGGGAAGCTCACCCCGGTGACCTGTGCCCGAGTCATTCCTGCGCCGTGGTGTGTCGGGGGCGAATCAGCGAGTAGACTTCGATATGCCAGCTCTGCTGTGGGGAGTGTTGAATTCTTGGTTATATTGTTTCGTATAGACGTTTAGTGTAGACTTTTTTGTCAATCCAGTCAGCAAACATGCACCCGTGGTGTATAGCCTTGCTCGCAAATTGTAATCGCTGAAGCCAATCAATGCCTTGCGAAGATGCGAATACTAAAGAACATTTTCTTGATTTTGTGTGTTCTTCGTTGCATCCTTGGGCCTTTGTTTACGGAATCAAGCATGGTTTTTAACTAACTATGTACCCGCTCTCAAAAGGCGAACGGAAGTTCCATGAGCCTCGTATTTCTGTAGCGGCCTATTTCATCGCCACGGCGCGTTGGCGCGCAGGAAATATCTCGGGCAGGATGCAGTCATCTCGCCGGTGAGGACATCAGTCGATCGGTGTCCCGTGCCGCCATTGGCGCCGTCCTCGGGTTTCATTGATTCCCCGCCGGTCAGGTTCCGTCTGTGTCCGGCCGGGGGCTGTCTGCCCGCCTGTCCGTCCGCGGGGACACGCCCCTCCCCCCCCCCTGGTCGTTGGTCCGTGGCCGGAGGCAGGCCACGCTCTACATCACACGTGTCGCCGTGGCGGCCGGCCGGCACAATGCCGCCGCGCGGAGACAGATGGGCGCCGGGTCGGCCTGTGACGCCCTCGCTCAGTCCACCCGTCGGCCGCCGGCCTGCAGAACACACCCGGAGAGAAATGGCCCGTGCGCGTGGTGCATTACCGCTACAGTGGGTTCTCACATTAGCGTAGATACTGCATAAATACGCCATTAGGCCTGGTGGTCTTGGCAATGGCGATGGCTGTTGATTTTTTTTCGTGTGCCACTGAAATATTTATATAAGTCCCAGTCGAATTTCACAATGACTTTATATCCTTTTACCTAGGCTCCACCTGACGTAGCGAAAAAGCTAACGTCACTGGTGAGTTAATCGCCAGTAGGTACATGTCAACATATGCATTTTTACATGGTTTTACATTTAATTAACACCCGCAGTATCTTTGTCAAAAGTTAAATCAATCGGTCAAGGTACGAGTATGTCGACTGTGCTGTTTTCCAAGTTCCAGCTCACAGCCGAACTGATACTCTTCACTGCGTAGTCTTTGTCTTGGCGTGTCATTCAGGGACTTCAGGAACCTTTAGAATCTTGCATAAAAGCTTCCATAGGAAGAATAGATCCGGAACCCTCTGACTCTCATTAAAACTGCCTGATTGGACGAATTCCGAGCTTTTTAGTTTCGTTTCAACTGACATTTCAAATGGCAGCTGCGACCATTTCAGCTGATCATTAAAACTTTGACCAGGGAGTTGAGCCCTGCAACCTACACTTTGGAGGGAGGCTCCGATGGGAGTCGGTCCCATCGGCCCCGTTTAACCCGGATGTACTCTGGGAAATGACGGTCCGCGTCTAATCGATGTTGATTTGTTGGTCATCGGAGAGTGATGTCGATCTAGCAGTGAAAATGTGGCCTGTAGTCGATTGTTAGCTGTGTGAATCATTGCGATATATTTCCGATATTGTCCATCTGACATAATGCCGTAGTTTATCAACAAAAGTGCAGATAAAGCTGCTTGGTTAACTTTAGTTGATTTAGTGGCATTTTTGCTTTTCACCGAGTAGGTATTCTTTGTTACAGTATGTATGACAGAGTGGTGTGTGTATGTGTGTTGCATTATGACTGAGCGTTGTTTATCTATTTACTGCAGTATGACCGAGTTTTGCTCATTTGGTGCAGTATTACTGAGTGTTGTCCGTCAGTTTGTTGCAATATGACGGAGTGTTGTGTTATTTGTCTATTTGTGGTCCGCTTCTAAAAATGACCGAGATTTGTTTATCTGTTTGTTGCAGTGTGACCGAGTGTTGCGCGTCTTGTTTGTTATAATTACCGATTGTTGTTTTTTTCTCACAATATGACTGAGTGTTGTCTGTTTGTTGCAGTATGACCGAGCAGGGGCTGGACGCGCAGACGACTCTAGAATCTAGCGATCCCTGCCAGCACTCTCCACCCTGTCCCCTGCACACCGACACCATGATACCAGGTGAGACAGCGACTCCCAACTGCCCCAGGTGAGATAGCAGTCCCTGGGGATCCCTGTCAGCACTCTCCGCCCTGTCCTCTGCACACCGTCACCATGATACCAGGTGAGACGCCAGCTACCATCTACCTTTCTGTTCAGTAACTTTAAACTTTTACTCTGCATAGGACCGGTGAAAAACGGTGAAAATGACGGTAACGGTGAGAGTAGGTAAATAACTAGGCAAGTAGAAAGCAAGTATAATCGGCGAGTAGTTATCGTTCTGCAAGGCCGTGTCTCTGTTTGTAGCCAGAAACTAAGTTCCAGTAGCCATTCACACTTGCAGCTGGCCTTAAATTGTCTTTGTAAATAGTTAGGGAAAACGATCGCTTATTTCCATAGAACACACTTCGGGGAATATACATTTACAAGCAGGGTAGCGAAACAAAACGTGACCCATACATAACTTTGGACCACTCAGCGCTTTAAAATCTGCAAGATTTTACAATTACAAAAACATTTATGTAAGTATACAATTAATGTTAAATAAGTATACAATTACAATACATTAAATACATTAAAATGTTAAATAAGTATACAATTACAAAAACATTTAACATTTTAAACCACAAGCACAAATACAAATAGGTAAACACAAAACAACAGATCTCGATGTAACTATCAATACGGACAAAACACAAAACAGACAGACGAACAGCCAGACACACAAGCGCACCGCCAGGCTCGTTAGCGGACCGGGGATGACATTGACCAGTCGGATCACCGACCCGTTCGATGTGGGCATTTGGACCGGAGATCGATACAAATGAGCCACCACAATCTCGGGGTGAAGGCTCAGCGGTGACCTTTCCGCAGCGGGGGTCATCTCGTCTGTGCCCCGGGGCACGCAGAGGACAGGTTGCGTGCTAACGAGGGTCGAGAAGTCACGTTTTCTACTGAATGTGCCTGCTTTTGTAACGACACACTGGCGCCAGGCACATGCGCCTGTTAAGCTTTTGGGTACTGCATCAAACAGATAGTTTCACTTAATGCATGAGTCCCGTTATAAAATGGTTTCTGGTCTCAGCGTTAGTAAATAAAAATGGATCTAACTATGACGGCTGCGGCAGCTCGTAGGCTCCTAAAGCTCGTGTCTGTGGTATGGTGAGCCAGGCTGGGGGTAGCTCCAGTGGGGAATGTGGCGCATCAGACGGCCACCGAGCGCTGAACTGACGACCAACGTTCAGGGCTGTGTAATGTTATATCAAGTATAAATAATCAATGAGTCGATTACCTGTTTGATACTCGGAGGCCGACCAGATAAATTTGTAGCAGTGAAAGCAGTGGCTATAGATGCGTTTTGGCTCAGTTAAAGGAGTTTAAGCGTCGTATACCCAAAGAAATTTCGAGATTTAGTGAAAAAGAGATAGCCTTTTACCTAACTCTCTGAGCTGCCGATGGCTATAAGAATCTCGCGTCCGCAGCAATGCTTATCATGCTGGTAGGCACCAATAACGACTCTGTGTTGAATATGCATGCAGAAAAGTGACTTAACCCTCCGATTATGTAAACCGGGAGTGAGTTGTTGATCTTCCAAACGCCAGCATGATTAGTCAATTCTTCAAAAGAGACTAGGTGAGCCCATATCAAAGAAGACTCTAAACGAGCCGTTAAACCTGGCTGCGGTACATCGGCTCTTTGCACCTGGCTGAATTTGCAAATCAACTAGAATAACTTAAATATCGGATCGAACAGCTGTATCTCGTCTCTCGTAACCATCCCCGTCTGTCATCTATCGCGTTCCGTAGTTCGCCGCACCAAACCTCGGAGGCGGCCCCAATAGCTAGCCAAGATTATGTGAACCCACTGCCTAGGCTCACACCCCGCGCTGATCAGTCTCCCTCCGTGTCCCCACAGCCCAGACTCACACCCCGTCGCCTTTGGAGCCCGGCCTACCGCCCGGATCGCTGCCTCTCACTCCTGACGAGCTGGAGAGGCGTCAGTTCTACAACACCTACAACGCCTGGACCGGCATCAACATCGCCGCCTCCCTCGGCGGCTTCTTCATGCTCCTCATCCTGCTGCTGCTCTACAAGTCCAAGTGCAAGAGGCGCAGCAAGTACCCGCCCTGTCCCAGTGTTGAAGATGGTGATGTGAGCCTGCTGGAGCCGTGGGATGTCACCTTTCTGGGTGGCTCCGTGGCGGACGGTCTCAGTCTCGGCTCAGGACGACATCCGCACAGTTCGGACTCGACGCCGGCCGGCACGGTGCGGGGCAGCAGACACTCGCTGGCCGGCGGACGGGGTAGTCGCCAGTCACTGGCCGGGGGAAGGGGCAGTCGGCAGTCATTGGTCGGTAGTAGGAAGTGTGTGTGCTCGGCGCCCGGGTCGGTACAGCGTCTGCCGCGACGGCCCCGGCTATCCTCGGGCGGCTCCTCAGAGGCCGGTCACCAGCTGGAGCTGCGCGTGCACCATCCGAAGCGGCGCGGACCGCCGCGCTACGCCTACAGCTTCGACGAGAAGGCCGTGGTGCCGGAGAGCTGGTGGCAGCGGGTCGACATCAACGTCATCCAGCCGACTCCGAGCGTCACCCCGTCGGCGAGCCTGCACTGCCTGGCGAGCTCCGACCAGGAGGCGGACGGCGCGGCGCCGCCGCCGCCACTCACCGTGCCGCGGCTCGACCTGCCCCGGCCGCGGCGCGGCTCCGCGGTCAGCTCCTCCGACCTCACCGACTTCGACGCGCGCAGCATCGGCTCCGACTCGGTGTTCCTGGCTGACGACGACTGGTCGTCGTGCTCGGAGGCGGCCAGCCCGTCGCGCGGCCGGCGCCGCTGGCCGCTCTCGCGCCAGGCCAGTGTGTGTCTGGAGGACGACCTGATCCCCGAGCTGGAGGAGGCGCCGCTGCCGCCGCCGCGCTCGCCGCCGCGCACCGAGCTGCTCTACGTGCCGGGCATGGAGCCGGGCCTGCTGCGCGCCGCGCGGCCCGACGGCGGCGGTGCGCCGCGGCCCAGCTCGCCGCAGTTCCTCACCGTGCCCAGCGTGCACGGCACGCCGCGATCGCCGCCCGCGCGCCGCTCACCCAACTTCCTCTCACCGCCGTCACCGACCTACGGACCGGCCAGGTCGATGAGCCCGCCGCCGCCGGCGACAGTCAGCCCGGCGGGCCGCACCCGGCGGCTCGGCGTCGTCGGCCGACAGCCGTCCATCTGCCAAAGCGTGTCGCTGTCGTCTTCGTCGTCGTCTTCGACGGCGTCGCTGCACCCGGCGTCGGAGCCAGCAGCGCCGCCTAGCGGAGAGGAGGCCAGACTGGTGGTGGTGGAGAGCACCGCAGAGGGAGGCGCCAAGGAGGCCGGCGCTGGAGCCGAGACGGCACCGAGGACTGTCAGCGAGGGCAGCCTGGTGACGCCAGCGACCGAGCGATCCAGTGACGTCATAGATCCTCCTGATGACGTCAGTAGAACAGACGCGGGAGCTGCTGTTGCTGGCAGGCAAAACTCAGAGGCCGACCAGTCATCCTTTGAACTAGTTCTTTCCGTACCCGTGATCACGCCGCCGCAGCCTGCGAGTCCCTGCTCACCCACAACGGAAGAGCCACCTAGTGAGAGGCCAGTGAACGATAGCCTTGACGATTCTCCTACAGAGGGCTCTGTTTCGTTAGTGGTACCGGTAACGGACTCTGGTGGAAACTCGCGTGATCGCGCAGAAACCTCCTTCTGAAACCCGAGATGTTATAAAGCGACTTTTTGTGTATCGCTAGGCAGTGACTTTGGCCAGTGCACGCTCAGTCCTTCAGTGTTATCCCTCGCTGTGGTGTACCAGAGTTTGATAATTCACCAATCACGCTTCTAAGGACAGCAGGTGTCTGTGCAACGAAACGCTCGAGAACATTGGACATTGGTACGGATGTTTACAGAAGAGCGGTACGAGCTGTTAGTGCTCAACTTAGTGCAAATCCTCCAGCAGAGCACCGCGGGTGTGACATTGAACGCTGCGCGGCTCCCCGCTTTATCTGTCCCGCACATGACCCGAGCCTGCCGGGGCCGCAGTGTCCCAGGATGCCTCGGTAGCGCCACCCATATCAAAACTTGATATTTTCCTATCACTGAGACGGTATTTGTGACGAATGTTCCTCGCGGTGCGATATTCTGGTAGCTGGTAGGAGCTGTTGGAAGACGCGTGTGGTATTTTTACGGTGTCGTGTACCACAGAGGCAATATACTCGGTGCGCTGTTAAAACGGTGGCGCACATTGTTAAAACTGGGACCGTGTCGGCGCTTCATGTTTCAATGCTGTTGACGAGAAATGCTGAGTGTTACTGCTGTCGTAGGAAGACTATGTTTCTCGGCTGCTGTCAATGAAGCCATTTGCACTGTCCGCACTGACGAGTTCCCGTCACAAACACCTGCCTTCATCTTGAATTCGTGAGCCACCCTTACTTTCTTAGCTACATTTATTGTCATTATTATTTGTTATATAGTTACAATAGACGAGATGCAGCTGTGTTTGACCGAGCGTTAGGTGCACGATTGTTGGCCGTTGTTTGTTGCGTTTGTTGCTATCATCGCGCGGTTGTTATCATTATCAGTATCACCTGCCCGGGACGGTGTGATGTGTTGTTATGTTGGTATGAACATGTCCGGCACTGAAGTCATCAAGCCGTAAACTAAGTTATTGATGTGTGCTACCGACTGGTTATTGTATTTTTGTTGAATTACATGGGAGACAATGACAATATTTAGTGTTGGCACGCACAAATGCACGTTCCGAAACAAAATAGCACTTAATTGGAGCCTTCAAAGGAACAAAACATGCGTCAAACACTAAAATATAGTTCACACATGTATTTGTAAGCGTTACACAAGCATCCGCCTTGTATAATCGACAAATAACGATAATAAATAAACGGATCGTACAAAAGTTGCACTCTGAAGTAATACCACAGCTCTCAAAATGGCACAGGACTCCAACTCTGTAACAGCAGATGATGTTCTGACGGTAGTGTTGAACTACAGCCCAATGCGCAGACGGGTAAATGTAAGAAACAGCGCAACACACTACGGGTAGATAGCATTGGTGTGCCCAAAGTGGTGCGCTCACCAGCAACTGAATCGTGAAAATATAACTAATTTGATCAGCGCATTACAGCCACGCAAAGGCAGATTGGTTTTGGACAAAATCAGAAACGTCACTATATAGCAGCTATGCAAAAAAAGAACGGAAGAATGTCTTTTAAAAAGGCAGGGTTGCAACAGGCAACACCTGCAAAATGCTACAATTATTGCAATGTATTTTTAGACGTAGTAGTAAGGGCTGGCTTCCACTGTTTGTTTTCTATATCATGTCCTGTGATCCCACGTAGGAAAACCTAATGACTAACAAATTATCCCGACAGAAACACGCACAATATTATCCCACCCCACAGTCATCACTATTGCTCATTCGTGGAGGACCCTTCGTCACGAATACAGCCGATAAACACAAACAAAAATCAGCTCCAGAAACCGAGAGCGCTGATCACAACTGAGATTCTAACTGTTCGAGAGCATGTCGCTCCTGTCCCACATGTAAACAAGCATAAAGGAAATAGTTCACCCTGAAGACAATTACTTGGCTAATAAACCAATCTTAAAATATCCTGAATTTTCGGGGCTCAGGACGGCCTTAAGTAGCGAAAGAGACAAAAAAAAACGTGAATTGAAACACTTATTACTGCAGCACGATAACACCTAGCCATTCCAGGATTAGATCAGTTATGCAAAAAAAGCAAAAGGCTTCAGTCTGGATCTGGGGAAAACATTTGATCGATGTCAATGAATACAACATTGGATTTCATGTAATTGATAATCATTAAGTCGAAAATGACCATAAACTTTGATTTTATCAAAACTTTTTGTTTCCTTCAAATTAAGGGTTTCAATTCACGTGCTTATTGTAAACTATTTCCTTTAAGCTATTGGCGAGCGCTCGTTGAGCACGCATCAGCCCGAGAAACTATACAATCTAAAAATATCACGACTAACGTATACGGACGATGAAAATAAATATCACACTCGATCGAAACTATGTGTCATGGTCGACCACAACTGATAGTCAAGGAGAAAAATATAAATATAAGGCAGCATGCGGTATCAAAAATTCTACGGTGGCCCGATTAACTACTCGGCTCACCTACGAACGCCCCTCCCGCCGACCAGCAGCGGCCCGATCCCAGCGCCCCTGGCGGCCGCGCACAGAACCTCAGTTTCCGCTGGCGGCCACTCACACCGTCTGGTACAGAAGGAACTGCTGCAGCTCCCTGGGGAGCTCCAGCAGGGCGGCGCCGTGCCGCAGCCGGCGGCCCATCGCCCGCCGGATGGCGTCACGGGTGAGGGCGAGCAGGGGACGCGGCGCGCGCGCCAGCAGCAGCAGCTGCTCGCGCTGGCGCTCGGAGAGGGCGCGACTGCGCCGCAGGATGGGCGGGTCGAAAGAGTCGGCACTGGAGGCGAGCACCTCGTACAGGCCGGCCAGCTCGTGCAGGTCCGGAAGGGAGTTGAGCAGGCCCATCGGGTCCCGGAACTGGCTCTTCAGAACGACCTGTCGGAGAGAGGTAAGTAAGTAAGTAAGTAAGTAAATACAAATCAAAGGTATTAAGGCGGACGGACGGACATGACAGTCGGGAGGAAGATACAGGTCAGTTGAATGATCAGTTCTTGCAGCGGGATATTGTAGGGCACAGGCTATGATTTAACTTCCTCTCTTTCCAAACCACACACCCCGACTCACTCTAGTCTTCCTCCCATCTCCCATCAGAGCCTCTCCCACCCCACGCTCCACCCCTCCCTCCCCCACGGCTCCTCACCCTGGTGCCGTGCTGGAGCAGCAGCTGGATCACCTCCATGGACAGGTCCTGCTGGTTGGACTGCAGGTACTCGCCCAGCACGGGCCGTAAGAAATACCCGTCCTCGGATTTGACCACCACATTGGGGTCGGCGCCGGCGGCCAGCAGTAGCTCCAGCAGCACGGAGCGGTTCTCGATGTACTCAGAGCACGCCACGTGCAGCGGCGAGCCGATGATGGGTGAGTGAGCGTTCACGTCAGCTCCTAATGAGAACGAAGGAACGGAATATAACTGTTATGACATCACTTTCATCACAACTCAATCAAATAATCGAATAATAATAAGATGATAAGCCGGTAAAAAGAGACATAAATAATTCATATATTTCAATAGGTTTTTCATCCCTACAAACAAAACCAACTTGAGTTTATTTCCACTGGTGGCTATACACCTGTACCTATACTGTATAGGTATGCGTGAGCCTCCGATCCCACTCACCTAAATCGATGAGCAGACGAACCATGTCCACGTCCCCTTTGATGATGGCCAGGTCGAGCGGCGTGGGCTTCTCGTAGTCGCACGGATAGTTGACGCGCGCCCCGCTGCGCACCAGGAAGCGCACCGTGTCCCGCTGACCCGACATGACCGCGTAGTGCAGCACCGTGCGGAAGTCGTGCCGCTCTCCGGCCGTGCTGTTGACGTCACCACCGTACTGGACGTACAACTTTACAGCCGGAAGACCCTGCGGAGGGCGGAGCGAGGGAGGGGAGAGAGAGACGAGAGTTCAGTGAGTTTCAGATCGGGGCGGAAAGGAGGTGGTGCAAAGAGGTTCGGAACGAACGAGGAAGAACAATGCAAATCAAGGTGATGAAATGGAGTGAATGGTGTTATTGTGATGAAATTTGAATATCCTGATTAAATGTATTTTGCTCTGGAAAGTGTGATTAAATGTGCTATAACTTCTACTCCTTCGTAGATAATTCGTTTTGTTATGCATCAGTCATGCATCAATCGTTGTTGTCACTTGTAGCAGTATTTCGTTAGCAAAATAATATTATTTATTCTCTCTAAACTAGAGGTTAGAGCTGTCTGAGTCGATAAGTCAAATAAGTTTGTCTTGTATAGCACGGCGGTGCCGCTCCAATGGCGTCTCATTACACGTTACAAGCCTACAGGGTGTCCCATAAGTTCGTTCTCACCTAAATTTTTAGTCAGCACGTGACCATTCGCGGCGATTGAGGGTGATTCGAGGCCTACCAGTCTGTAGACAATGTCCATCGCTAACTGGACGCACAGTCAGCAAGTGACACCGATGATTTGTCGGGAGTCAATCATTGCAAGTTTATCCTCTTTTTTGTCAGCTCTCAGGAGTGAGCCATGTGGCCAAAACTGTGTGGCGCCAAAGTGGCCATCAAAAAGGTCAAAGGGTTAGAAAGTTGGTAAGCAGACTTTTCAGGATGGATTACCAGCTGTCTAAAATTGTTCTTACGGGGTACATAACTCAAGGTGACTTAAGCTATGCTTACCGGAGGGCTCAAAACAGTCAAAAACGTCTTAAAATGGCCAAACATGAGTTTCGTTATGCCTGAGGCTAAAAAACTAAAGGGCTGAGGACATCAACCAGGTCATCTGGACTAACTAGTCCACGTTCGAGATGAAACACCCGTCCAAACCCGAAAACAACCCCATAAGGGCGAAGGAGGAGGCCTCCGTTTCGTCCCGTTATGTTCCTATGCGAAAGGCCAAGGTCACGGTATTGTGGGGTTATAGGCGTCCAGACGCTGACCAGGTTGCGATTGGTGTCCCAGAAACAGCTTTGGGAAGCATAATGCTTTTCCAAGAAAATCTAGGAGGAGTTTCAGCCCTCAAGCTGAACTCGAACCGCGAGTATGAACACATTTATAGAGGAGAAAATGGCATCCGAGAGGTCGTAGGCCCATCTTCAGGCAAGACAGTGCATCAGTGCACAGGTCAAGCAAAGCTTAAAAGCGGTGCAAGGACAGGCGTTTGTGGCCGCCGCAAGACCACATGCCAGGCACCTCATCGGATCAAAATTTCATAAAAAAATTGTTGGGTATGCTGAAATTTAGGCTCGTCGAAGCGTAGCGCTGTTCCAGCCTCGAGGAGCTCACGGCGCATGTCAAGTCAGTCTGGGTTAACTTTAAGCCTGCTATGCAGCCAAACATGCCGGTTGGCATGCCGCAGCATGTGTTCATGTGTTTGCCTATTAAATGGGGAGCACATTGAGGGGTCATAAATACCGTAAGGTGGGGCTATTTGAGACAGTGGGGCTATTTGAGACAGTATTTAGAATTGTTATAAAATAAAAACCGTTTGAAATTTATGCTTAATTTTTGTTCAGGCGATTTACCGCTCGATTCCACACCTTCCTGAGCAAAAATATCACATAAAATTCAAACGCTCCTCATTTTATAGCCATTTTAAAAACTGTCTCAAATAGCCCCACTGTCTCAAATAGCCCCACTTTACGGTATATCAAAACGCAAAGTACTCTGTTTCACATGCAAATAAAATGTGAGAACGAATTTATGGGACACCCTGTACGCGGGCGACTGGCTGCAGGAGGGTAGGCTGTACCGCAATACACACCGGCTCGGCGGGACAGTCTAGTTACAGGCATCGACGCTCAGCACGGCAATAGCGGCAGAGGCAGAACTTCTTTGACTCGTGTTTCGGCTCTTTTCGACTGATGCACGTGGCGTGAAACAATACTGACATAATAATGACCGTGACGTCATCTGTATCCCGTGACCCCGCCGGCTACTCACGTCGGGCTGCCGGGCGGCGCGCATCAGCTGACTGAGTCCGGCGCGGTCGGGCGCGTTCGGGTCGGCGCCGAACTGCAGCAGCAGCTCGGCCCACTCGAGGTCGAGCGGGTTCAGCAGGCTCAGCTCGGGCCCCAGGAAGTAGGTGGCGTTCGGGTTGGCTCCGTGCTGGAGCAACATCCGGGCGATGTCCAGGTGTCCGTGTTTGACGGCCATCCGCAGCGGCTCGTCCACCTCTCCGCCGTGCAGCTCCGTGAAATCGACCCTGGCGCCGAACTCGAGGAACAGCGCCACCATCTCGGCGTAGCCCTTCTCGGCGCACAGGTGCAGTGCCGTGTGGCCCAGGTCGTCGGCGGCGTTGACGTCACAGCCGCGGGTGAGCAGCCAGCGCGCCGCCTCCGGGTAGCGCTGCCACACGGCGTAGTGGAGCGGACGCAGACCCAGCGTCACCGGCGCGTTCACCTTGGCTCCGCAGGCGATCAGGATGCGCATCTCGTCCAGCGGCGCCGAGCGGGTGATGCTGTCAGCCAGCGCGCGCTGCAGACACGGCTCGGGGGCCGGGGACGGCGACGGACGCAGCACCTGAATTGGCATGGTCGGGCCGGACTGGGCGCAGAGAGTCTGATAAGGTGGCGAAACTGGGGCGATTTGATGAGACGCGACTTCGCTGCTCAGCGTGTTGTCACTGAGGCGGCTTGGGCCTTATATTTGCGCTGAAAACAAAAAGGACTTTGTCAGGAGACTTTCCATTAGGTCAGCGGTCGTAAAAGCATCGAACTGTGTTGGTGAGATAGTTTTTTGATAGTCCCTTCATTTCAATATCGTACTTGATCAATGTATGTCGGAGAGCTACTGACAGCCTGTGCTGCAGCCCATCAGCATTGTGACTCACGAACCTATGATATCTTACAATTAGAAGGTGAGGGAAGGCAATCCAGCGATTACATTGAAATCCAGCACAGCAGCACAATTAAGATGTAAATATGGAAGTCCTTGAATAGTTCGCCACACTGTGCTACTGGGAAACCGTCACCGAATTTTCCCGCTGGACGTGCAACGGCTGGCAGTGCCGTAGCGTCGTCACAAAAGTGGATCGCCGCCGGGTATTTCCAGCCGCCGGCTGCCTCCAACACCAACACGACCACGTAATCGTTCCCAGGAGCGGGCAGCAGCGTCGAACGCTGCGACGCAGCCGAGTTGTGCAACAACGGACAGGCTAGGAGCTTACAGGCGTGGTTTTGAGGCCCTTGTTTTACCGTGTGAGATCGTTCAACACAGCTGGAACATAATGTCGAAATCAGCTGTCACTTCGAGACAAATATACTAGCTGAAGACGGTTGAGCCACTGAGAATTTCACTTAAATGAGTCGGCCGGTACAAAGAGACGTTTCATGGACGGGTCTTGTCGGTAAAATGACTCATGACTAGTCTAACAAGCGGTAGCTCCTCTTGTCACATGTGGTTTAACCAAAGCCTAACGTTTATCTAGACATCCACCGCAACTTTCAACAAACAAACCTGACTTTAACCGAGCTCCATCTCTTTTACAAACTCTCCCCGGCAGCTGGCGCCGGAAGATTGCATAACCGACGCAGCTGTTGCAATTCTGGCGCAGTGCGACGGTCCAGCTGTTTGTAGGGGATGGTAGGTTGTAGTCGCTCTGTCTGCCGAGGTATACGTCGGTCTGGCCCCGAGCCAATCTGACGAGAGATCAACGCCTTTTCCTGCCGTCCCACCGCGGCCGCGCGGTCTACTCTCAGACAAAGCAGCCTGGACCCCGGGACTGTGCCGGCCTCAGACGCTAACAAAGACTCAGACTGGCCGCACCTGGCAAGGATAGACAGCACCACGCGGTCGACATCGCTGCTGCATTGAAGAACAAAAACGGCGTAGATGCGGTGTAGGGAAGAGATAAGTCGGCAAGAATTAAAACGATCCGTCCTTTTCCTGATGTAAATACATGTGGCTGCCTTGATAAAATAAATGTGAAGCTAGTACCCTAGACAGGTGATTGCCGTGACAGCCTGTGTCATAAATGACTGAGCCTCGTTCCGATTCTGCAGACAGACACCAAGACCAAAATACAACCTTGACATTCGACGCATTGACAGTCTCTGGAGCAGCTGCCAAGTCTCCCGTACTCCCGTCTCCTCCCATCGCGGGCGGCAGGCGGAGCTTAGCGAGCAGTGGAGAGGGACTTCTCCGTCGGTCTACAGATCAAACAGGGCTATCAAAGACTGCTGAGAAGCCGGTGCAGTAGTGGGGCGTTCCACCTCTCATATCGTTCCGATGGCGCCTCTGACAGAGACGGCGTCAGGTCACCGACCGGGCCCACGCCACCAGTTGGCACGGCCGACCAAAACAGCCCCTGACGTCGGTCTTCTCAGTGACCTCAGTCCCGGCGGCCACCCGTCGGATACAAAATGACACGGGGCGGCAGTGGTCGTCCGTCGTGACCTGACACCACAGAGACAATCAATTCGACAGCCGAACGAACCGCCCACGGCTATGTGCGCAGGAGACTCGCACCCCGCGGGGCGTGGCGTTACATCTTGGACCGCAGCGGCGCGGCGGAGAGGTAGAGTCTGACTCTGTTGATAACGTCTTGGCAGACTCCCAGCTCGCGGACCGAGTCGGGGCCGCTAACCCACGTGTGGCGTCACGGAGACCCAAACAAAGAGTGACCTCGGCCGTATCGACACGAGACCCGCGGCGACATTTCGAGAGTAGCTGGCCGTGCCTTGCGCGGAAACCCAGGACGGCACCTGAATGTAGTCTCTCCAGGTAAAAAACCTACGACAGTTTCGCCCTACTAAAGGGATTTACGCAGTAGCATCTTCCGAAGGAAAAGGTCACAGTATTTCCGCCCGTCTATCCGTCAATGACAAGGTGAAGGACGAAGGTAAACATTTGACATCAAATCATCACCGACAGACGGCTCAGCTTTTTGACGGAGGCCTCAGGTTTTCAGGCAATTCATTCGTACGTGACAATGCAATTCGGCGAACAAGTGCAGCGACGCACCAGAAAAAAACACAAACAGAGGCCTCTTGCACCAATGCTTGGATTATTTTGCATCGTATACCCAATCCAAGACTCAAATGTGACAATTTGCGTTTAAAATTTACCAAGCACCTGTAGGATTATGTATTGGGCTATTGCAAACAAATTTACCACCGTTTGATTAGCTTATTCTGAAACCGGTTTTTCGATTTTACCTAGCTAGGTAGTTTGGTGCAAGAGGCCTCAGCTTGATATTGACAGCACGTTTATCGCCTTTTACATCATGAACCCCGGCAGTCCTTGTTCATTTAGCACGTGTATAAATGTTTCGATTTGTTACGTTTTAAATATAAGTGCTAGGCACAACATCACAAATGGTTGACTAGGCTAATCTGCAAGATAGCCACATCATCGCATGACATTGCCATGTAGTTACCCATCTTCTTATTGCAGTGATGGAAACGTTCTTCGATTATATGAATAAGTGAATGAAAATCGGACGGGAGGGTTCACACTATTTATGACAGTCTATAAGTAAAGTGGAGTGCTCACGTTTAGGTATAAAACAAAGGCCTGTTAGCACAGGAGCCCGGACATCAAGAGAACACGTGAACTTTATCTAACAAAAACAAATAAAAAATTCCCTTTATCAGTTTTATGACTTCCGTGGCATGTCAACAGCACCCCCTTATGGTTACTCGACTTCCCACGGCCACACTCCCCAATAACACTCACCTTTGTCCGATAAGACAAGCGAGACGTTGCTCTCCTCCCGGGTTCGAGACTCCAACTGTCGAGGCCGACAGCCACGCAGCAGAGGCGGCACGATGTTCGCTAAAGGCGCATGGCGAATTGCGCAGATCGCCGACCTGGGCGGCCCACGTGACACGACGTTGGCACCGAGCCAGGGCGGCCGCGTCGCCAGCGATGAAGCAGCGTCGTCCGCGACGGAGCTGTTTGAGCCCGTTCAGAGCGGACAGGGCGGCTTCGTACGGTGTCGACAATGGAACGGCACCTTTGTTTCGCAACAACGATAATGATAATAAGCAATAATTGCAAAATTGTGGGCTGTGGCTTTCAACCAAAGAAATGGTATCTGGAGTGATATGTAGGTAACAACTAACGAACTAGGCACTCTTCGCCCTTGTAAGCAATGTCTGCGAGATTTGAGCGCATGCCTTTTCATCCTGAATTGGGCGGTTCGCAGAGCCCCATGCGGTAGACCATATCCCTTGGAAGACGACAGACAAGGTACGGTACTTTTTAGCAAAGTAGTCTTGGCGGTACCACTGTACGAAATTCCATTACGAGTAGCGCACCCGAGTTCGGGTGCTGTCCTGAGTCATCACAATTCCTTTGAGCTCCAGTGATTTAAAGCATCAGATTTTTTCGTCAACAACTTCCGACCAATGCTTGTTAAAATCACAAAAGGCACGAATGAATTAAGAATGAATGGGTATTTCCCGGGTCAGTAATGTGAAAAAACTTTCCCGCAACATGATACCTAAACATAACTTCCCGGTTCCCTTGGCCAATGTTCCGATCTGACCGGCTTTGACCTGACTTTGACCTGAGGTCAACACCCAAGCTGACATTAGCATTCGACAGGGCTGTCCGAGACAAACGCGATGCGACCAGCAGTGTAAAAATTATTGCACTTTGACCATTTTTGCCGGCTATTTACCAAACACCGGAGTCCGGCCCCGGACTTCCGGTCATGAAGGTGACCTCAGAGAGGTCCACCGGTTGGCGGTTACCCCGAGACAACTGAGTACCAATCACTGCTTCTCGCAGTGTCGCACACGTTTGTTTTTCTACCGCAAGGCGTACCGAATCGACAGGACCATAGCATGATAGGGGATGAGACGGTAAGTGAGTGGGTTATATCTAACTCCTCAGACAGTAGGAATATGTAGAAAACAGGTAAGGCTTATCATATAAAATATTGAGTGCGACGTGCGCGCTGGAATCCGATGCCAGTCGGCAATTATAAGTCCTAAGGCTAGTTCCCTACACTGGCGGATCCTGGGGGGGGGGGGGAGGGGAGATTGGGGCAACTGCCCCCCCCCCCCACACACACACACAAACACACCGCCCGAAATGGATAACAATTTGCGTTTTTACGAGAATAAAACAAAACCAAACAACTTTTATTAGAAAAAGTTTGCTTTTAAGTGCACAGTAGTGCGCGTAGTGCGTAAGGGATCGAAATATGATGTTTTTGAAAATTGGAGAAAATTTTTGACGGGTATGCCTCCGCAGCATACAAGATCGCCTTTCTGGATCCGCCAGTGGTTCCATATTCCATATTGACCGCATTTGCACGAAGCCTAGGCGTTTCCAACATGCGTCGAATAGCCGCGGTGTTTCACCACGCTCTGACCTTGTGGGTTTTCAGACGGCGTCACAACACACGCACGCGGCCCGCGAGTGCAGTAGGTATTTTTAGCTGGACCACGTGGGTAGGTGCCCGTACCAACGAGGGGCAGGTACCAGCGGCGTGGGTCCTTTATGCTCGCCGGGTAACAAAGCCGGCTGGGGCGCGGTAAATAATCACCAGAGAGGGCTGGCCGACTTCTGCTGACGGACAAAAGACGCACGATGCGCCCAGGTGTAGGTGCTCGGTGGGCTTTGTTTGAGTGTGATGTGGATCAACACTGGTAGCTAGAGGGTGATTGACGTCGAGGGCTAAATATGTAGCGCATACACATTACACATACGCAGCTTGTTGCCAATGACGGGGAGTTCACAGGGCGTACAACTGACAACAAATAGCAGACCAACGCAGCACACGACGGGCGGCAAATGGCAGGCAATATGAAATCAGGCAATACGTGGGTGTGAATGCTATTGATATCAAATCACGATGCATATGCGTGTTTGTATTAGTACAAAAGCAAGGCTTTTCAAAAGCAAAACAATCCTACTTTCTCCATCCAGGATCCAGCTCGACCAACAGCAGTGTTTCGAGAATTTCCTTTAGGTGACAGTTCTTCAGTTCGAACGTCCATTTATTCTCGCTACGACAGCTGAGCACTAAAAACCGAATGTGGCGGAGCGTATAATGCCTTCTCCCCCTCCAGTGGCAGGCCATCGGCGCCAGTCGCCAACAGCACGCCGTGGACGTGATTTTGTTATCAAAACGGCTCGGCCGATATTGAATTATTCAGTTTAACGTTAGTAGGTATAGAAAATGTAACATACTAAATGTACTTTCATCATATATTGAGACATCTCCACGAAGGTCGTATATCCACATCTGCTGAGACCGAGGATAGAAACATCAGCAGCAATTTTAGTATCATCGCAGCAAGCGGCACGGCTCGGCATCAGTCTGCCGCGCCTGCCACCTGGCGGCAAGCCGGCGGACTAGAGCTCCGAGCAGCACCCGCTAGAGACCATGTCCGCTGCGAGAGGAGGCTAGGAGGCCGATGGTGCTCCTCTAGCGCGAATGAACGGCTGGGCACCACGTCCAACCCACTGATCGGGGTCCCAATGTGTCCAGAGGGAATCCCGAGGGTATGTACAACACCGCTAACACGTCAGGACGCTAATCCCAAACATTGCTAGCAAATCGTAAGAAAGTAACTAGTTGTGTCATTGGTCGATGCCTCGAGTCAGCTTGGTTACAAAATACTTAACATTGTACACTACATAACTATAATGCCGTTGAACATGCTACGAGAAAGCATCTATTGAGTAGATTCAAGGCATCAAGCAGGAGCCGAATTCTACCAGCGTAATCGAAATTTCAAAAGCGTTCATCCGCTACTGACACGCATCAATTCTAGCAATACGTGTGCTCGACATGTTCTAGCGGCGGCTCATTCCACAGCACTCCTCCAAAGCAGAAACGAAGAGCTCACACACTCACGCATCAAATATATACAACAGAGAGATATTGGTACGTAACTACCGCGTCCCACCGTGTTTCGCCGATGCTCAGTCGCGTCTCACAGCGGCGCGGGAGGACGTGCGCCCGGCAGCCCGGGGCACGCGGCCGCCGGCGGCTGGTAGAACTGCAGCCCGCTGCGTATGTGGTACATGGTGATGAAGAGCAGCATCTCGACCGAGCCAGTGTTCTCCACGCGGTACACGGCGCCTGCAGGACGGAACGGGTTTTGGTTAGACGAGGCACATACCTGAGTCAGACTGGACAGCAGACACAGAGCCTAGGTGAAGCCACAGATCATCATCATATCGTTCTGAGAGCGCCATCCGACCAGCCTGCCGGCCCACACCCGCACTCAGGTCGCAGCCACTGTGTAATATTGTTCGTGATAGTCGAGTCTAAAGTTCGCGTCGTGAAATAAACAATCACTTTCCGGCCATATTGTTCCAAAGATGCCAAATGCTGAGCCGAGAATAATAGAAGTGACCGATCTGCTCGAGACGGTGAGCCCAATTCGACTGCCCGGCCGCGCAGCATCGGTCGTCTACACATCATACGTCACACATACGTCATATTAGTACCTACACGTCATATCATGGCACCAATCAGAAGCGGGCCAGGATAGGCGTCACAGGTGAGGAACGAGGGCCATATCAGGACATTCTTAGTGGAGTAGGGGGCTGGGAATGAACTTGTTCCACACTGAGAGCCAAACCCGATACAGACCGAGTTCGTCACTCACCGGGTCCGACGCTGAACACGTCCTGCTGGCGGAGCGGGTGGCTGCTGACCAGCTGGCCGAGCGAGTCCGACAGCACCAGCTCCCCCTCGCCAGACATCACCACCGCGTGCTGCCGCAGGGGAAAGACGGAGAGGCCGTCAGTATCGATATAGATACAGGAGGGCGTCAGAAATGATACACAGACACAGGGGTGGTCAGTACCGATACACAGACGGAGGGACCATCAGCGGCCAACCAGAGCACCCGAGTGCCTTTGACTGGTCTTAGCAGTCCCAGCGTATAATGTTGTAATGTTGCGGTTGGTAGTGTTAACAACGGGTCAGTTTTCCGGGTAGATTTTATTCACCAGGAATAGGAGACGAAGCGACTATTCCAGCAATGCTGTGCCAATACATTCTGAATAAATGAGACAAAATAGCACGAGAGAGAGAGAGAGAGAGAGAGAGAGAGAGAGAGAGAGAGAGAGAGAGAGAGAGAGAGAGAGAGAGAGAGAGAGAGAGAGAGAGAGAGAGAGAGAGAGAGAGAGAGAGAGAGAGACAGAGAGAGAGACAGAGAGAGAGACAGAGACAGAGACAGAGACAGAGACAGAGACAGAGACAGAGACAGAGACAGAGACAGAGACAGAGACAGAGACAGAGAGAGAGAGAGAGAGAGAGAGAGAGAGAGAGAGAGAGAGAGAGAGAGAGAGAGAGAGAGAGAGAGAGAGAGAGAGAGAGAGAGAGAGAGAGAGAGAGAGAGAGAGAGAGAGGAAAGAGAAGAGAGGAGAGAGAGAGAGAGGGAGTGAGAGAGTGAGAGAGAAAGTGAGAGTGTATGTGAGACAGAGAGTCGCTACGGCACTTACCACCGACTGCCAGTGCACGGCGGCGTCGGCCTTCCGACCGCCGGGCGGCACCCGCACATAGCCAGCCGACACGCCCGGTGAGGCATACAGCCGACACGACTCGGCCGAGAGCGCACTGTTGTCCTCGGTCAGCCACCGCTGGGCGGCGTCCACACGATGGACTGTGGACACTGTGGATGACGAGACGGGTCAGCGCAGGTGGTGGTATTCTGATAGGTGAGTGGAGCATGGTAGGATAACGAAAGACAACTCTTAGTAATTCTGGGAATGGTTGGGGAATTTGTTATAAGATCAACAGCTCGCCAGGATAAGACATAATTTAAGCGTGGGTTACACCAGGTGACAGTTTAACTCAGCTGCGTTGGGAAGAAGATAAGGAAAAAGTCTGGACTCTGAGAAACGTCAGGTCGAGGACAAGTCTAATCGCGCCAGATAAGGGACATTATCTGGTCAGGTAATGCCAGAAGCGGTTACGGCCAGATGCCGACGGAAAATAGCAACGGAAAAGACAGCATTGGACAGTACGGGGAACAGGCAACAGCGCTGAGTGGGCGATATTAGGACGCTTGTCAATCAGCCTATCTCGTTCAGCGTGAACAAACTTCCAGCACACGACAATACAAAACCTAACGCTACAATTGTCAGCAAATTAGTTCAGTCTTTCTTTTCACATTACCAAACGAACCTAAAAATGCAAGCTCCCTTTTAGGACTTCCAGCCCGTATTCTGCCCGCGGTTTGCCACTCACGGCGGTGTCACTCACCGGCTGTCGCTTCCGACGACTGTTGAACGAGGGCTGGAGGCGGGGGCTGCTGCGGCATGGGCGCCAGGAACGTCCCTGGCGGCACCTGGTACGGCATTGGCACCGGCACGGCCGCAGCACCGGCGGCTGGTGCGGCCGCGGGCACAGCGGCTGGTGCAGCGACTGGTGCGGCAGGTGGTGCGAAGACTGGTGCCGCGGCTGGTGCTGCGGCTGGTGCCGACACTGGTGCTGCGACCGGAGCTGAGGTTGGTGCGCTGGCTGGTGCAGGAGCCGGCGCGGCGGCTGGCGCGGCGGCCGGCAAAGGCTCCCTCTCCGACTCGAGAGCGGCAGTCGTCTGATCCGTCTCCTGTCGCCTCTGGGCTGCCGCTCGGGCTCCGCCCCGGCCCCGGCCCCCGCCTCGGCCCCGGCGGGAGGCGCCTCTGGCGGCCGCAGCGGAGGGGCCAGGGGCGGCAGCAGACGGGCCGGCAGCGGCGGCCCCGGAGGTAGCCGCGCCGTCCGAGGACAGCGCGCCGCCTCCCCGCCGACTGGTGGTGGGTGTGGCCGCGTCCGGCGACCACTGCAGCTCAGCGGGCACCTGCACCGGACTGGCGGGCGCCGGCGGCGAGTCACGCCGGGCCGGCAGAGGCGGCGTCCGACGCAGCGGCTGGCGCTTCCTCATGCTGCGCGTCAGGACGCTGTCATTCAGCGACTGACTCGGCCCGCTGCCGCCTGTCTGCCGCGCCTTAGCACTTCGCAGCACTATGCTCCCGTTCAGATCCACGTGGGACGGAGCGGCCCTTCGTTCAGGCACCTCCGTACCCCTGGGTTTCTTTGCACTGTTATCGCACCCCGCCTCAAATGTAGTCGGCGGCCGGCGTTTGCGAGTGCTGCGTCTCAGCACGCTGTCATCCAGCCCGGCGGCCGGCTGCGCGGCTCCTCCTGCGCGGCGACCTGACACACTCACATCCAGCTGCGCCGCCCCCGTCGGCCCCGGCTCCGGCTCGGGAGCAGTCTCCACGGCGGTCGTCGCAGCGGCTCTGCGTGAACGCCCGCGGCCACGGTTGGCGACCGGCGCTTCCTGAGGCGCCGGCGTGCTCGGCTCCGCAGCAGCCGGCGCTTTCGTGCGCGGAGCGCGCCCGCGACGCTTCGGGGCCGGCGCTGACGGTTTGGCAAACACGAAATCCCCCGCCGCCTCTGTAGCGGCTGGCGGAGGCGCGGGTGGCGGCGGGGAGGGCTCTCGCGGCGGCGGGGACCTGGGCCGCCGCCGGTTTGAGGCCGGTTTCTGGGCTGGTGGCGGTTCGGGCTCCGACACGGGCGGGGATGGCGACCGGGCTGGCGGCGGTGGCGGCGGCGCGTCCTTGGGTAGAGCTGCCGGTTTCCGGCGGTTTGCGGTCGCTTTCTTCCCAACTGGGGACGGAGACCGATCTCTAGCCTGCGGTTCGGTTGGCTCTGCTGTGGCCGGCGGTGGCTGTTGTGGTGCTTGTGCGTCCTTTTTCGATAGAGCTGTGGGCTTCCTGCGGTTTGCCGTCGGTTTCTTTCCCACTGGGGACGGAGACGAATCTCTGGACGACGGCTCAATCGGCTCTGCAACCGGCGGTGGCGGTGGTGCTTGTGCGTTCTTTTTTGGTAAAGCTGCCGGTTTCCGGCGGTTTGCGGTCGGTTTCTTTCCCACTGGTGACGGAGACGCATCCCTAGACGGCAACTGCATCGGCTCCGCAAGCGGCGGCAGCGGTTGCACGTTCTGTTTTGGCAGAGCTGCCGGTTTACGGCGGTTTTTCTTCCCCACTGTTGACGGAGACACATCCCTGGACGGCGGCTGGATTGGCTCTTCAGGCGGCGGCGGCGGTTGCACGTTCTGTTTTGGTAGAGCTGCCGGTTTGCGGCGGTTTGCGGTCGCTTTTCTGCGGATTGGGGACGGAGACACATCCCTGGACGGCGGCTGGACCGGCTCCACAGCCGGCGGTGTGGGTTCCCGGGGCGGCGGAGCTGCCGGCTTCCGTTGTTTCGCTGCTGACCTTTTCGGCGCTGGTGGTTTCGGGTCCCTGTAGGACTCCAGGTCCGGCAGGTGCGACATATTGGAGGGCGGTGGCGATGGCGGCATTTCAAACGAAGGCTCCTCCGCTGCGGCTGGGGCAGCTGGAACGCGACACGACTGTCAGAACGCTACATGGGCAGAGACGCTACCTATTAGTCTAGCTGAGTCGTATGCAAGGCTTGTGCTCTCATAAATTTATTAAGGCCCTGATATTACCATCTGCTACCATCGGTGACATGGGTGAGGCCAAGGCTCTAGAACATGTGCAACAAGGTCATATGTGCAAAGTTGTCTTGGGGCCATGAAAGCGACGGATGAGACCAAGATGCGACAAATGGCAAAGCACTTGATGTCATCGTTCAACCGACTTCACAGGTCGCAAAACATGTACGTGAACAATGACATCAACGTAAAGATACGTAACGTAAAGGTTAGTTATCTTGCAACCACGTCACACAGCGTCACGGTTCGCATTCAGACATTCCATCCTCCAGTTCATAAACAGAGAAAAACTTCTATAAAAAAAAAATCGGCCACGAAGACCGCTGCGACCACATATCTTCTTTTACCTGTTGTAATCAGCTAGCAGTATCGTACTGTCGTGCAAAGGCAAAAACTACTACGCTGGGTCACCCAACTTCTGACCCAACATGACCTGACCCAGCATAGTAGTTTTTTTGCCTTTGCACGGCAGCGTACGCTTCCTTACTTTACCAATCTCAACAGTCATCACCCTGTTCCCACCGTTCCTGCCCCACACCCCACGCCAGCCCCGGGTCAGCGTCACAGTGCCTCTGGCCATACCTGGCTGCTCGGTGGCAGCGGGCCGGCGGCCGGCGGCCGGGGTGGGCACGTACTCCGAGTCGGCGCCGTCCGAGGTCAGGTCGCCCGGGGTCGACGTGTCCCGGCTGCTGCTCAGGTCCAGAGACGACTCTTCCCTGTACATCAGCCGGGCAGCCCCATGCGGCCTGGTCCGACCTGCGGCAACCAGAGGGGGTCAGAGACGGCCCATTGACATAGGACCAAGCATATCAGGTACCCTGGATCAAATGATTTGTCATCCATGCTTGCATTTCAAAGCTAACACCAAAAATTAAAAAAAAAAATGAGTGTCTAAGCCTCATTAAACAATATACAAATTGGTTACATGAAATTAAATTATTTAATCTTCCATAGCACGAACAAACTGCCCTTAACACGCACTCCTGCGTGGCCAATCACGGCGCTCTAATTTCTCTACGTGAACTCACCGGGCGGGGGCGCCGGCGCCGACCCTAGGTCGAGTACGTCGCCCTCGTCCTCCGACTCGGAGTGTATGGCCGCCCTGCGCCGGCGGCCGGCGGCCGGCCGACGCGCCGCCGCCGGCTCCCAGTCCTCCCCCGTCGTATCCGGTGAGGTCTCCAGCCTCAGCGCCGACCGGGCACCACCGCGAGCCGCCTTCTTGCCCCGCGCGGCGGCCGGGCGCGGCGTCGGCTCCTCCCCGGACGTATCGGCCACGACCGGCGCTCGTTTCCTCGCCCGCCCGGCGGCTGGCGCCGCTGCCGGCTTTTTACCCCGCTTGGCGGCGGCCGGCGGCTTGCTAGGCGGGACAGCGTCGTCAATGATCCGCGACAGGCCGGCGGCGGGCGGCACGACGCGGCTCGGCGCCGGCGCCGCTCTGGGCACTGGGAACACCGTCGGCCTCACGATGGCCTCTGACGCCATGCTATCCACCGACATACGGTCTACCGACACCGGCCTGCAGTTGGATAAAAGGTCCGGCTGCGGCGGCGGCGGCGGCGGCGGCGGCGGCGACGGCGACCGCGCGACCGCAGCCGGCTTCTTGGTCCTCTTGGCCGCCTTGGGAGGCAGAGGCACGACAAACACCTCCGAGGCGCCGCTCGAGTCGCGGTCCAGGGCGGCGCTGTCGAAAAACCCCTGCCGGCCGGCGACCGGTACCGACTTGGACGCCGGTTTCTTGCCGGCCGTAGCATTGGCAGTGGACGCGCCAGGGCGTGGAAACTCGGCCTCCAACAGACCAAGAACTCCAGATGCTGCAGCCGTAGCCGCCTTCGGAGCAGATTTTGACTTTCCTGATGTCGTGTTGGCTTTTTCGACCGGAGCTTTCTTTGGTCTACCGGCCTTTTTACCCGATTTTACAGGTAGCACTGCAAAAAGAATAAGGAAATAGATATTAGAAATAGATATTAGAAATAGATATTAGAAATAGAGAATGTTACAACGTGCAATAAGTCTACTGTTACTCACACAACACCTTTCCGCGATGAAGAAAGCATAACTAAGCATCCTAGACAGACCAGTTCATGGTATGCCACAGCCAAATGATATGGCCTCTGCCCTCCAGCAGAACGCTGATTGTTGACATCTTCGTATTTACCGTCATTGAGCAGGCTGTCCACTTGGCTCTTGGCGGCCGGCTTGGCGGCGTGTCCCATGAACGATCCATCCGTGTCGGAATGGATCACTGTTGGAGCAGGAGGGCGTTATCAACGGATGCATGGGAAGCGGCCATATGCTGCTCTACAATAGCACAGGGAAAATACAGGCGAGTGTGCAATAAACATTCAACCTACTTGGAGTGCAAAACATGCATTGAATTGATTTTCCGTGAAAACACGCTTCAATCGATTTATAATTCATACAGCTTGATGGACATCACAATTCTAAATGAATAACTTAACATATTTGTAAAAAATGGCAATGTTCTGAACACATTATCTAAAAAGGTCACACAGATGGCGACACCACGACACAAACACAAGAACACGGCCTGAACCACTAAGTCTGCAGTCCATAATAAAATGCAGAGGAACAGCGACTCAGCACTCACCGACGTCATTGTCGCTGACATAGCCGGCCTGCCACCAGTACTTTGGTTTAACTGGCGGCAGCTGGAGCGAGTCATCCAGGAGTGAGCCGCGCAGCAGCGGCTCGCTCGGCTCGCCAGTGATGGCCGCCCAGTCGAGGTCGTCCATGGTTCACTGAAGACCCACAACAGGGTTGGGGACTGTGATTAGAAAGCTGCATGACAGCTCTAACTTGTCGGCCCTATAGCTCAGCTGGTAGATATCGGAAACACGGCGGAAAAGCTAAGTTTGAGAACCTAACAATGTCGCTCGATTACAGATACCACAGAACCATTAGGTATATGGAGGAGTTGCTAGAGTCGGAGTCCACACTAAGCAGAGCTTGTTGCGCACACCGCGACCTCATGATCACGCGATTTCGGGTTGAATCGCGAAAATTTAGGTGTCCAAGTTTAGCGTGGCGTCAAAGCAGGATGCAGCCTGGCCTACTCAATTGACTCCAACTGGCTGCGGCTGCTCTCACCAACCATCCCTGTCAGGTGCCTCAAATATCGAGCGCTGGCCGCAGAGGCGACCCGAACCCGAGTTCACTTCTGACTACTGAGTACTGGGAGTCCAACGCTCTGCCAACTGAGTTACCTATGGGACAGGCAAACCTGAATACCAAGTTTGGCATCTGTCAGTTGCCCCTTCAAATCCCTTATTGCCATACCTAATAAAAGAATGACAATGCCAAAAATCTTGTCAGTGTGGAGTTGTGGACGCAATGAGACTGCGTGTTGTGTAAGGCGAATTTACTGTGAAATGCGGTGTGCCAGGTTATAGCTGGAGCAGGAAGTTTGTGGAATGGTGCAAACAGCAGATCCAAGTATTGTATTGCTATGCTCAATTGCTCAACCACTGTGCTAGCCGATATTGCCCGGGAAAAAGATGCAGAGAACGACACTACAGGATCAGCAAGGGGCCAAAAAGCTTAACAACAAACGGGTACATGAACAGAAATGCAGAATCATTTCATTATGTACCAAAAGTCCTACGCTTTGTTGGGTGCTGGCTGGTCAAGACTTCCAGCCTGATAAGTGCAGATTAGAGTAAATCTGTCACCTTAGCTGGTGTCTTCAACCATGTTAACACGCGCAGTGGAAGGGTTGCGAGTACTACGCCCAGTGGAAAGGGAGGCGGATGTCGCCCCCCCCCCCCTAAGATCTTGGCTTCCACTGGAGCTAGAAAGACGAAATTTGGAGGGTAGGTGGGGGCCCTGGGGAACTCTGTTGTGTGTGAATTTCATGACTCTTGGTCAATATCTTCAAGGTGAAATGAGGCCAAATGTGGTCAAATCCTCCATATGAGCGACTTTTTTGCGTTTACACGCCGATAACTCAAAAAGTTACCATCCGATTTTCTTTTTCTTTCACAACACGAAAGAACATACAATTGTGAGTATGTATGGTGAATTTCTAGTTAATCTAACAATCAATATGGCAGTTAGAAGCCTGCTAAGAGTAAGATAACATGTCGCCGGCTGAAGCGGGATCGGCCGACGCGGGAAACGCGGCAATCACAATTTTGTGTTTACACGCACATAACTCAAGTTTTTACCTGCCGATTTCCAAAATTCTTTAACCATAAGATTGCCTGTACATTTCTTAGTCTTCTCACAAAATTTGACGCGAATCGAATATCATCAGCGGTAAGGAGCGCGATGTAAAAAGACGGAACCGTCCCGTCCCGGCACAGTCTACAATTCAGGCGGCGCGTAACGGCCGTCGCCGGCAACCGAGTCACCGCGCCGCCGCGGCGACAGGATGTTTGACTTTACAACGCCAATACTAGAAAAGTTGTGAACCGGTTTTCTTATTTCTTGCACGAGAAGATTCAATTCCAACCAAATCAATTCTGGACAGGTAGCCAAAATTTCACTTTTATACTATGTTTGCAGAGTGACTTATTGGTGAAAAACAGGAGGGGTAGGCGAAATCCGCCCCCCCCCCCCTTCCTTGGTTTTTATTTTCTTTAGGTCCGCAAAACAGCCGGATAAATAAAAGCCATTCATAAGATATTCTAAGACCTCCTGATTTCATGTCTGATACTTACTCCCTCTAGACACCAATTCAAAAGCACCAGTACACTATGAGCTGGCCGTGGTTCATGATTCAAATGTACAGTGTAGTAAGTGGCGACTGGCGAGTGATGTTTGCTATGATTAGGCCTTGTCAATGTCATCCTGCACCAGAATAAATCATCCATTTGTGCCAAAATATCTTCGTCCATCCATGCACCAAAATTTCAGCGCACAGAGACCAGGGTTGTGGTTAATACCGCTCATAATTTTTGCGCAATCAATCTGTTACCCTGAATGTGACAATGGTGAGTGGTGACATGAAATTTTTTAATTCCAATTGTGAAACAATGATCACGGAAAACTCGCCATTCGCCAAGAGTTCTGAAATCATCATGATTGGTGGCTTCAACAAAAAAATGTGTGGGACACAACAACAGAGTTCATCACAAGCATCATTTCCTGTATGTTTGATGCAGTCTTGCAATGCAATCCAGCCATCCAAGAAACTTTGCGCGAGACGTTTTCTTGGATGGTTTTCTTGGATAGCTTGATTTCATCGAGGGCTTCTGTTTTAAAGAAAATTTGTAAGCTTTGCTGAACTGTTAAGTTATTAGAACTGCCAGTATTTCAGTATCTAACGTGTAGTTATTGCTACTGTATTTTATTTATGCATATTTCGGCCTTTTTTAAGCAGACAACGAACGATATTAAGAAACATACAGGAAATAATATCTAGGACTCTACCGCGACGAAATATTTCTATCTCAAATTTTCAAAGAATTTCATGCACTCGGCCAAGGCCTCGTGCATGAAATCCTTTGAAAACTCTCGATAGAAATATTTCGTTTTCGCGGTATTGTCCAAGAATGTATATTCAAATTATGTTCATAACAAATGTATAAAAGTAGGAAAACAATGATACATCATAACCTTGATCACATATATTGGGCTTGGATCAGGGGCTTGGGCTGCTGTCGACCAAGATACCTATAAGAAACGTGCTGGCTACCGAGAACAAGAAAATTATTTAAAAAACGCAGTTAACACTTGCCCACACTTGACACACTTGCACTGACTTATTGTTATAGTCAGTGAAAAAAATTACAAAACTGCAATTTGAATTCAATAAGCTTTCCAGTGGCGCGGGAACCGGGGGGGCTAGGGGGGGCTGAGCCCCCCCAGCTTTTCGGCTGGGGGGGCTCGTAATGTATTTGAGCCCCCCCAGCTGGAGGAATCGAAATCGGAAATCTACCAACATAATTTCATAGATTCATACATAGGCGTGGGAACCGGGGGAGGGGGCAGTGGGGGAAGCTTGCCCCCACAACTCTGCGGCCGTGGGGGCGGTGCCCCACAACGTTTCATGAGGCCAGGAACCGTCGGGCAGCTTGTCCTCCCCAAATTAGGGGTTGTGGGTCACTAAGGAAGAAAGCATGTAAGTGAAAAATCCACCTATTTCACTGGCTCGGCAACTCATTTGGCAGATTAAAACCTTTACTCCAGGTTGCCAAAACGGTAGTTTCTTCACTCAGCTGAGACGGAATACCTCACTTTTTGAAAATATTTTCGTTTTTTTTTTTGTTGAAAAGGCCAAGGTCTGAAAAATAAGTGGCCTAAAACCGGTGAGAAAACTAGATTTGGGGGTACCCTAGGTTGATTTCTATTATGGTTCAGCCCCCCCAGTCTGGAAGAAGTTCCCGCGCCACTGAAGCTTTCCATCATAGTAGGGGATATATTCAATATGACTGAATATTGTTTGCAGTAATACTAAAGTGATCACTGCTCTGTCAGTACCTTCTACGATATGTTCTTAATAAAAAGCAAAAAAAGAGTCCATAATCCCCCTCCTCCACACAACTCAACTCGCGTGCTCAACAAACTAAAAATTGCGCCCATTGCGCCGCAGATTCAAATTACCGCCGATTCCGACGCGCCATCAAAACAAGTGTATTGATTTGCTGCAAAATGAATGTAATCGAGAAAAATCCTAAGATGAGGTTTCTAGAAGGCTTAAAGATAATTAAAAGGGGTGAAAAACAAAGCCTCATCAATCAGCAAAAGTAAAGTGCCTCTCAGTTGCAAAAGAATCTGAGAAAATCCAAGAAAACCTTGCAAATTAACCCTGTGGTGAAATATTTCAACCTTTTGATTTAGAAAAGGAAAATCCATTTGCCTGGTTGCTGTTCATTTCAAGCTCGGACATTTGAGTTTTGATGGATCAATCTTGATTGTTTATAGGTTTTCAGCAACAATAAATCAAAGTTTTTTGCTGCTTTCTTCCTAGGTATTCTTACGTCACTTTACAAAAAAATGACATTTTTTCTTTCACATATTTTCAATTCCTTGATATGATTTTAGTTACATTTGTGGCGCAGGCGTTTTTTGAAGCGGGCAAGCGGGCAAGCTGAAGCGGGGACGGCCCGAAAAAAAAAACTGAAGAACGGTTTGGTAAGGTGTTTTTTTTTACATTATTTTTACACCTTTATTTATTTTACATATCTGCGTTGGATAAAAGCACAACTGCGGTAAAACAAGATGCTGGGAATATGAGCCATTACGTTGTTTCGATTGGGATGATGCCCTACAAATTGACATGGATCAGGCCAAAGCAGCTCAAGATCAACTTAAAATAGTTTCTGGCATCAAGAGGTCTAGTGTGCTTTGGTGGCTTCCATTCAAGTTGTTGTTGGTGGATTAGGGCGCACAGCCCTAAGGCCCTAGCGTCCGATCCCTAGTTTCAATGCAATGTGTTCTAACTTTTGACTAAAACGCAGTTCACACATGACCGTCAGTGTCGGTGTCGGGCCCGTCACCGTCGACCTGACGGCCTGCAGCCCGTCAAACGAAAGTTGAGATTTGGTAGCTCCCATTGGCTACCATATGTTGTGACAGAAATGGCGCACCATTTTCGAGATGGAAGCAGATGGGGGAAGGGGATGGGGAGCGGATAGAGGCCGAGAAGTTGAAAATATTCTTTGAATTACAGAGATAAAATACCACGCTTTTACATTTTTAAGTCAAATAATGTTGCAATTTTATTTTGATGAAAGGCACATCGGTTCGCTGACTTAAATCAGGGAGCGAATCTCAAGATATCGTGCCGTAATAAACACTTTTATCTCAACAAATGGATAGAAAATGATGTAAATTATCTTAAAATTGCATTTAAGCTTCATGCTGCATGATAACGTTCCTTTTCCTCTTCCTCCAACACGCAGACATTCAAACCGACAGGCCCGTCACCGTCAAAAGTTGAACATTGCTGAACTTTCCAAAGCGACGGCCGTCAGGTCCGGCGCCGGCGCAGTCAGCTGTTGCCGGCCATCAAACGCTGCCGGTTCACACATGCCCGTCGACCTGACGGCCGTCGCTCCGTCGGTTTCGGCCGTTTTGACGGTGTCGGGCCCGTCACCGGCAGACCTTACGGGCAAGTGTGAACTGCGTTTAATACACTGAGTGACTACAGAATAGTTTCAAGGACAAATCTTTGTCGAGCTGACTCTTTGTGACTCTTCCTCCCTGCCCCGCAGAGTCGACCCGGGCAAGATCATGTCAAACTCTGCCACATATCGCAGACTGGGCTGAACATAGACTGAGTAAGATGTGTAGGGCAACCATGTATATTAATTTGCCAATAATTGTATTCTAAATGTACAATTATTGACAGAAGTAATATTGAGCTTACTCTATGGCTACCAGAGGCAGAATTCTTACATACCTTTTCAAAAGCTAAGTCCTGTTTGAACAACAAATTTTAAGCAGTGCCCCCTGAATATTGTAACTGAATATAGGCAGAAGGTAGCTCATTCTTTTGTGGAGTACACTATTTTGACATGGTTTTGGGCTTCACCTTCCCCTATACTCAGCACTGCTTTTAACTGGTGCTAGGTTCTTTGAATTATGGCTATTTGTCTGTGGAACTGGAACCTGAGTGCCAATACCTGGTGGTAATGTCAGGTAGCAGTAACCAAGTGTGCAAGATAGTGCCCTCTCTTCAAATGACTAACTAAGTGACAATGAATGAATGGATGTGAATGTGCAGAAGAGTGGGGCTTCATGACACACTTAACAAGCTTTTTAGTCCTGGTTGACAGTTGACACAGATTATGGTCTGGTCAATCTGCTTGATTTGATATTTATTCATGATGCCATTTCATTTTATTCATGTATTATATGATTTTTTTCTTCTAAACAACAATTGTTCTAGGATCTAGAAAGAATCCAGAAAACCTAGAAAACATCCAGCGCAGAGCTACAAGATTGGTGAGGGAGTTAACCCTATTCCTGGCGGGGGGGGGCCTCAGGAGCCCCCCCCCCTGAGGTTTTTTGGTTATTTCTCCCAAACGCGTTGAGCTAGGAAGCTCAAATTTTCTGACTTTTCCTAAAAGGCTTCTACGCAACATGTCTGAAAATTTTGAGTTGATCTGACCTCAGGTCAGGTCACCAGAGGCGGTTTGGTGACCCTACCTCAGAAAAGTTTGCAATCACGCCAGAGCTAGAGTTTTTGACCGATCAATTTCTTCTCTTCAGGCTTTAGTTAGGGTACCAGTATGTGCAAGTTGTATATCTCGAAATTTTGATATCGGTGACCTAAGGTCAGGTCAGTTTCGCGACCTCCCCATTATAAGTCAATGGGGGGAAAAATCAACTCCCTGTTTTTACCACTAAAACGGGTCGGAATGGCCCCATATACCATACATGACTTCATATACGATCAACCTTCACTACCTTGAGGTCTGTTTTGCTGTTGGGCAGCTGTGAGGTCATGTGACGTCATCAAAGGTCACCAAAGGTTTTTGGCCAATAACTCCGTACAGGAACAAGATACAGACGCGTGGATGGTCTCATTGTGTTCCGCTCGTCAAGACGCATCGAATGATATACATGATGACCTCGAGGTCACGTGACCTGAGGTCAACCTTTGACCTTGACCTTTCGAGGTCAACATATATATCATTCGATGCGGATTGACGAGAGGATCACGATGATGCCCTTAGTTTGTTCCTATCTTGACTAATTCGAAAGTTATTCGAGAAAAACTCTCCATATCTAGCGCCGCCATTTTGACTTTTTCGACCCCTGTGACGTCATCTTTGACCTGACCTGAAAATGACCTTAGTAAAAATTGTAGATCTTGACCGTGCGTATCCGATGCCGTTTACCGTTTGTCGCTGCGATGTGTAGTTTTTTTAGATCTGAAGGGGGGGCCGAATCGGCCCCCCCCCCCCCCGCCAGTTTCTTGTCCCGGCGGAGCCCGCCAGGAATAGGGTTAAAGCACAGGTCATACCAGGACAGACTAAAAGTCTTGAAAACCATATCTATTAAAGGCAGGATAAAAAGAGGTGACTTGATTGAGACCTATAAGAGCATGTCAGGGTCTGAGGGAAGCTCAATGTGAAGAGAGAGAAGTTTTTCAAACTGAGGCTCCAACCTCACTGAGTACCCTTACATATTTCCTAGCCAATAATGACATGGACAACAAATAGCATACTGCTACCCCAAGTCCATTATCTATATACTTATACCTATACCTATCTATCCAATGAAAAATTAAAAGTGAATCCCTCCTGCTATGTTAGCCAATTTGCTTACACTTCACCAGTTACACAGCTGACATTTTTTAGGCATATCACTTTAACATTTGTCTGACATGAGGCTGGCATTGTTTCAGGGTCTGCTGAGCCACCGAACGCCGCTGATCTGCAGAGCGCTGGACCATGCGGCGGCGCGGCTGGGCGCTGCCCGGCCTGCTGACGCTGCTGGTCGCTGCGGTCGGTCCGTCGGCCGCCATCGACCCGTGGTCGGTGGCCGGCGCGGTGGGCGCCATCGGCGGACTCAGCTACGTGTGGGAGTCGGTGCGGGACACGCCGCTGGTGCGCCAGGTGGCGCGCTCGGCGCCCGTCAGGGCCGTGGAGTGCACCATGCGCGAGTGCTGTAACGAGCCGTACATTCGGCGCTCGGTGCCGTACCTCGGGGACCGTCTGCGCGAAGTGGTGCACGGCCAGCACCTGGTGGCCGAAGTGATACCGCGCGTGATCAGCAACCACCTACACGACCAGCGGCCGCGCAAACCGCTGGTTATCAGCATGCACGGCACCACGGGTGTCGGTAAAAACCACGTGAGTCGCGTGGTGGCCGAGAGCCTGTACCAGCGCGGCATGCAGAGTCGGTTCGTGCACCTGTACGTGGGCAGCCTGGACTTTCCCTATTCGGACGAGGAGAGCATCCAGCGGTACTCTGACACCCTGCGCCGCGCCGTGCTCGGTAATCTGACGCGGTGCGAGCGCAGCCTCTTTATATTTGACGAGGTGGACAAGATGCCGCCGGGCGTGCTATCGGGCATCCGGTCCCTGATGGACTTCCACGGCAGTCTGCACGGCGTCGACGTGGCCGGCGCCATCTTCATACTGCTCAGCAACACGGGCGGCCTCGCCATCAACGCGTTCATGCTGCAGCAGTGGCGTGACGGCGTCGCCCGCGATGAGGTGACCATCGCCGCCTTCCAGCCGGTGATGGAGAAGCGGGCGTTCAGCGAGACCGGCGGCCTGTACAAGTCGGATATCGTCTCGGCAGCTCTGGTGGACCTGTACCTGCCGTTCCTGCCGCTGGAGAGGCAGCACGTGCGGCTGTGTGTGCTGGACGAGCTGCGCCGGCGCGGCGTGTCCACCGGCCAGGAGGAGGCCGTCCAGCACGTGTTGCGACAGGTGCGCTTCGACACCTCCGAGCAGGTGTTTGCGCGTGTCGGCTGCAAGGACGTGGCCAATAAGGTGAACATGGTTCTGGACCATTCGATGTTTGAAGAGATGTGAGCTTGGCCGTACTGGATGACAGAACTCCTGTGATTCACTGCCTTTGGCATTGCTTGTGTGCACCGGGTGCAGTTTTTTTCTATGAATGTCATACATATTGAAGCTAAGCCTCTTGGTCTGGATATTGGCAGCAGAATAGTCATAAGTCTGTCATTGTCACGATCATGAAATAATGTGATGCGTTGTGATTAATCGTCTTTTGATGATACATTTTAGCGTGTTATTGGCTAAACCGTGTTTGACATTCCATATAGTTTGATGCAGCCTGACAATGGTTGCGTGTTTTGGCATTGCTGCATCACACCTGTTAGTCATCTCTTGTGCTAGTGGTGAACATGATTTTGTGCTGTGCCCGTCTTCGTTATGAAATTAGATGTGAATGGTATTTGCACAATGGCGGAGCCGGTAGGACGTTTGAGCCGCTGTGGTAGGCCTTGGCCTACTCCATCTAAAAAAAAAAAAATAGATTTTCTCATCGGGCTTCGCAATCGCTTCTGTACGTATTGCAGTGCACTATGATAAAGACCACCTGTCATGGATTAGCAAACTTCCTCAAGTTTTTGTTCACTTCAGGGTAGATTACAAAACCGGAAAACGTCGGATGCCAGTTTAAGATGCTGTTTTAGACGCGTTGAAACAGGGGGGAGGGGGAGGGCGCCCCACTTTTCAGCCACTTCTCAAGTAAAATTTGTTTTTGTTTGTTTTGTTGGGTTAGGCCCTTTCGGTCCAATTAGACCATTTCAGAGCCGGAAGGATGATAGGAATTAGGGGGAGACATTGGTCTGGGCAGGCATCCTAGTGAGTCACCGGGGCTGAGCCCATCCCGAAGGACAGGCCGACCAGCCCCAAGGTACTCACTGCACCCGGCTACGGGGTGCGCTCCCTCGGGAGCAGCGGTGCCGCTCCAAGGGAGCAGCCCGCATGAGATAAAGCTGCCTGTCCAGCCCGGAAGGGGTTGCGGCGTGGACGGTGGAGGAGAAGGATTTCCGTATCCTGAGGATAGAAGCATGGAACGGTGAAAAAGTAAAATGTTTATTTTTGATTTAAGTACAAAACTAAGCAGGGAATGTTTCAGCAAGGTGAGATTAGAGATAGCACAAAACTGCAAAGAATTTCTTCATAGGGGTATTGGGGCTCCCACAGTGTATATAAATGCCACTTTGTGGGGGCTCCCACAAAGTGGCATTGAAGTTTCGCTGCCCTCCCCCCCCCCCACACACACATTTTTCGTGAGGTTTCTACGCCCATTTATTGGTGGGGAAAACCACCAAGGGAAAACCGGATGCACCAATGTTTAGGGTCATTTAGGGCAATTTAGGGGGGACACTGGCGTATTCTACCAATGAAAAAAAAAGTTTTCCTGTCGGTTGATAGCGAAAACTTGGGATATGGTAACTCTTTGTGATAGTGCTTGCGGCGCAGATGATACAAAAAGATTGCCGGGGTTGGTCGCGAAATTAGGGGCAATACTTAGAAAGGGCCTCTTTGGGGCCCTCTTTGGGCCCCTTCCTTTGGATTGCCCGGTAGGTTTCTTCAGCCAGATTGAAGAGGGGGCCCAGGAGAGTGTCTGTGCAAATTTTGAAGAAAATCGTAGGGGCCGCCCCATTGGGCCCCAAATTTCAATTGGGTCCCGTGGGCCCCAGGTGGGCCCCATCGAAAAATGTTACTTGGGTTTTTTGTTTGGGAAATTACGCTCTTTCCAATGATGTGCATATTGCCGGGGTTGGTCGCGAAATTAGGGGCAATACTTAGAAAGGGCCTCTTTGGGGCCCTCTTTGGGCCCCTTCCTTTGGATTCCCCGGTATGTTTCTTCAGCCAGATTGAAGAGGGGGCCCAGGAGAGTGTCTGTGCAAATTTTGAAGAAAATCGTAGGGGCCGCCCCATTGGGCCCCAAATTTCAATTGGGTCCCGTGGGCCCCAGGTGGGCCCCATCGAAAAATGTTACTTGGGTTTTTGTTTGGGAAATTACGCTCTTTTCAATGATGTGCATATTGCCGGGGTTGGTCGCGAAATTAGGGGCAATACTTAGAAAGGGCCTCTTTGGGGCCCTCTTTGGGCCCCTTCCTTTGGATTCCCCGGTATGTTTCTTCAGCCAGATTGAAGAGGGGGCCCAGGAGAGTGTCTGTGCAAATTTTGAAGAAAATCGTAGGGGCCGCCCCATTGGGCCCCAAATTTCAATTGGGTCCCGTGGGCCCCAGGTGGGCCCCATCGAAAAATGTTACTTGGGTTTTTTGTTTGGGAAATTACGCTCTTTCCAATGATGTGCATATTGCCGGGGTTGGTCGCGAAATTAGGGGCAATACTTAGAAAGGGCCTCTTTGGGGCCCTCTTTGGGCCCCTTCCTTTGGATTCCCCGGTAGGTTTCTTCAGCCAGATTGAAGAGGGGGCCCAGGAGAGTGTCTGTGCAAATTTTGAAGAAAATCGTAGGGGCCGCCCCATTGGGCCCCAAATTTCAATTGGGTCCCGTGGGCCCCAGGTGGGCCCCATCGAAAAATGTTACTTGGGTTTTTTGTTTGGGAAATTACGCTCTTTCCAATGATGTGCATATTGCTGGATTTTGTCGATGGTATAGGCCTGAAATTGTTGAAAACGTTTATTTATGCCCCGAGGGCATACTCCCGGGCCCATATATTTGAAGCTGTTTTGTTCGGTTCAGGGGGGCGCTAGCCCCCTAAATTTGGTACCGCTGTACGTAAAATTTTGTCCTCTTTCGAATGACGTGCATTTTTAGCTGTTTTGACGGCTAGAAGTAGGGTTTTCAAAGTTCGTCGATTGTGCCCTGAGGGCATACTGTTTTTTGGGATTTGTGGCCCCCCTGATGGATTCCCCGCATTTTGGTACTAGGATTTTCGATAGAGGACACCATTCTGCACCTCTCCACCAAAATTCATCGAAATCGTAGGGGCCGTCGATCCCTGCTGAATCCCTGCTGAACCCCTGCTGAATCCCTGCTAACTTCCGTTACATCAGTGAAAAACCCAAGTAACATTTTTCGATGGGGCCCACCTGGGGCCCACAGGACCCAATTGAAATTTGGGGCCCAATGGGGCGGCCCCTACGATTTTCTTCAAAATTTGCACAGACACTCTCCTGGGCCCCCTCTTCAATCTGGCTGAAGAAACCTACCGGGGAATCCAAAGGAAGGGGCCCAAAAAGGGCCCCAAAGAGGCCCTTTCTAAGTATTGCCCCTAATTTCGCTGTGAGAAATTTGGTTTCCGGCTGCGTTGGACTGCGAAACTTTCGGAGCACTCCGAATTCCTCGGATAGACGGTGCAAGGCTACCTGACAGCTGACTTTTAATGACAAGCAGACGACGCCAGTGGTGAGCCTGTTCTGTCTCTGTCTGTCTTTCCCTACCTCCCTCTCTCTCTCCCTCTCTCTCTCTCTCTCTCTCTCTCTCTCTCTCTCTCTCTCTCTCTCTTTCTTTCTCTCTCTCTCTCTCTCTCTCTCTCTCTCTCTCTCTCTCTCTCTCTCTCTCTCTCTCTCTCTCTCTTTCTCCCTCCTCCCTCCCCATGCATACATTATGGTGCGCGCGGCTCGGGACAGCCGACGCCCGGCAGGCTCTGCTCTGAAGGACGCCGTGTCCTAAATATGAGGCTATTATGTATGCGTGCCAGCGCGGCGACGCCATGAATGCTTTTAGTGCGTTTGTCGTAACCTTGTGGAACAAATAATGATTTAACGTTATCTTTGGAGCGATTTTAGACTTAATTCCTACATACTTCTAAAAGTACCGCAGACTTTGCAATAAATTGGGAAGAATTATGAGACCTGGGAACCGGGGAAGGGTGACTTTACTCCTATTCACAGTACTAGCACAGGCGCACGGAGCCCTGCATTCTGCAATGACATGCAGGCAATGGACGTTGGAGTCGAGCCGTGACGCTCGAATCAATGGGCGACCAGCCGGAGATGCGCTCAGGTTTCGCTCTTCCCCCTGGAAAGAGATGGACGGTGCAATGGTGGTCCGTCGTCGATTACGACCAGTCCGAATCTACATATGCTGAGTGCATCAGCACAGGCGTCGGGCGTGGCAAGGATTAATTAGCGTCACCTTTCAACGGTAACATCGTCTAATTCAATCATCTCTCAACTTCTGTCAGTTTCGTCCATGTTAACTGACATTCAGTCAGGTGATAAAAGAGCAGTGGACAGTATCAACGGACAGGTGGTAACTGGTAAACCTTTCGCGAGTCGCGTTGGAGGCGCGACAGGGGTGACATATCGTGCATATCTTGCGATGGAGACGTAACAGTGACGGGATACCGTGCAGTGTTGCCGATCGGATCTTTCGTCTAGACTTAGTGGAAATGTGAAGCAAAAAGGTAAACAGTCGTCAATCTTTACAGCGTTGGTAAAGATATAGGTATAGGTAACACGGTGTGATAGTGATTAGATATTAGATAGACTTGAGCGAGTTCTACGAGCTGTTTTAGGAATATCTATAACTGGAATGAATGACATGTTATCTACGAAAGCGTAACATGGGTGGTGGTGGTAGTTGATCGGCGAACTAATCTGTTCTCCATTCCCTATGTATAAAGTGTGGAAAACTTCGTGACCGGCCGTCCTCACATCGCCACTCCGAGCAGCGGGGCCGCCCGGACTCGGAGAGCGCGGCCAAGGTTGCGTCGGCCTGCCGGCAACGCCGGAGGCATAGACACGGCACGACGGAGCTGCACCTCTGGACCAGTCGACCACAGAAGACAGCGCGAACCAAGGCCAAGAGAACACGGCGGCCGGACGACGGTGCCCGAGGCAGGAGTGTGCCGCCCGGCCCGAGCGGTGGGGCGCGTGACGTCACGAGGCGCGCCCGGGGTGGGGACTGCGTCGGGGCTGGGCTGCTAAGGGCCTGAGGCTACCCGGCCCCTGGTCCGCTCGTCGACGACAAGATGGCGGTGCCGTGTAGCTCCTCCTCCCGACGGAGGACTGGGGAGGAGGCGAGGTTGGCCGTGACCGAGTCATATAAAAAGCGTGTGTTCGGCAGTTCGGGGCTTCACTTCCTTTCTCTTGGGAGCTCTCGCTCATTCGTGGTGGTGACGCCGCTCGCGGCTGACGTCTCGACACTTCTCTCACAATGTAAGTACCTGGGGCCTATCTTCCACCCAGTTGGAGGTCTCGGACTGAATTCTTGCACTGCCCTAGTCGCGCCCCTGTCTATAGCTGGCCGGCGGAGCGAGAGGGTTTGAGCCTGACTTCGGATCAAGTCTCGGCTGTGGTCGGAGATATGTCTCAGGCACAGACACACACATATACACACACTGGCGTTGATAACAGTAATTTAAGATTTGGCCGCGGTACTGTGAACTGGGTACTGTGAACTGGGAAATGTGACAAGAGCGACAGGTTGGTTTACATGTCACTGTGAGTCGTGACTGTG